CCCCAAAACCCCAAAACCCCATCATTAAAATTTAGAATTTCAGCTAGATTCATATAAATCAAAGAAATCAAAGACTTTATCCTTTAATATTAATCTCATTAATTAAGTTCAAATTTCTAAATAACATTTCCGTAACTTAAATCAACCAACAACAAAAAAGGATTTTGAAGGATGAGAATAAGCTGAAGTTTGTTAGATAGTAGGGCTGTGGTATCTCAAATGTAAACAGCTTATTGCTGAAGTTAGTTTTAAGACGAGAGACTAAGGAGACCTCTATCGTCAACAACAGCGACTGAGATTTCATTGTGGGCTGAAAGAGCAACACCCTTCTGACCTTCAATCTTGTACCATTTTTAAGTAATAGTCTGCCATTTAGCGATTTGATATTGAGTAACATTAGGCTCATAAAGAAGTCCCCATAGAGCACCATCAACACCAGCGCTAATACTGACCATTTTTTCAGATCCATAGTTAGCATCAATTCAATGATCCTAATTAATAAGTATCAACTGATTTCTGAGTAAAGTTAATCCTATATATTTGCTGTTTAAGGCCTTGAATTAAGCATTAGAGTAGGGATCTTCTTGATAAAGAGATGATAGGGTATCAACTGGAATGTTTGAAACTCCATCATGGATAGCAATGATTTTTCCATCAGCATATACTTCAAAGTCTTTGAAGCCGCAAGCTTATCTTTATCTATTTTCATTTAGAACACAATTTTTTGTATCTAGGAAGTACATTCTTCCAAAGAGATCAAATCTGACTGCTTTAGCTTGGAAATCTTTATCGTATATTTGCCATGTGTTTGAAATAGGACTGTACAAGTAAACAAAGTATTTAGGATCATTTAATTCTTATTCAAGTTTTTGAATAGCGTACACATCTCCATCAGGGGAAGTTTGAACATCGATAAAAGCATTAACTACCTCCCATTTAATTTCCTGAGTTTTGTTCCAGTTGAATTTGTTTGTTGCTTCCTGTCTCCATTTTACCTGGGCTCTTTAATTATTCATTAATGAGCTGACTGGTGCTGCATTAGCTGTGAGAGCTAATAGAGAAACTGTAAGTAAAAGTTTTTCCATTTAAATATTAAATTCTTAAGAAACTATATTCATATCCAATTTCATATTAATTTACTTAAAATTGAGTATAAAAGTTCATAGGGGTTTTGGGGTTTTGGGGTTTTGGGG